ACCTCCGAGGGCGCCCCCGGCCGGCCCCAGCTGTTGGCACCGCTCTCCTTCCAGAACCCCGTGTACCAGATGGCGGCTGGCCTGCCACTTTCGCCTCGTGGCCTTGGCGACTCAGGCTCCGAGGGCCACAGCTCCTTGAGCTCCCACAGCAACAGTGAGGAGCTGGCAGCTGCCGCCAAGCTGGGAAGTTTCAGCAGCACCGCCGAGGAGTTGGCACGGCGGCCCGGGGAGCTGGTGCGGCGGCAGATGTCACTGACTGAGAAGGGCGGGCAGCCCACGGTGCCACGGCAGAACAGTGCCGGCCCCCAGCGGAGGATCGACCAGCCGCCACCACCACCCCCACCGCCCCCTCCTGCGCCCCGTGGCCGGACGCCACCCACCCTGCTGAGCACCCTGCAGTACCCGCGGCCCTCAAGTGGAACCCTGGCATCAGCCTCGCCTGATTGGGCTGGCCCCGGAGCCCGGCTTCGGCAGCCCTCGTCCTCGTCCAAGGGTGACAGCCCGGAGCTGAAGCCTCGTGCAGTGCACAAGCAGGTCAGTGCTGCTGTCCCAGGGCAGGCCGCACTCTCGGGCCGCCGGGACATCATACCCCACCCATGGTGTGCTGCTCCTGGTCATTTCGCCTGTCCTCAGCTGCCATCCCATGCTGAACACGGCCGCACTTGGCCCCATCCCACCAGCCTGCCCCACACACCACCTCCCCTCTCCTCCTGAGGCCCACTGGCCCCTGCCTGAATCCTTTGAACCAGGGACAGTGTGGCCTTAGGGTCTCTCTCCCAGTTCCCCCAGGGGCAGCTGGGGCCAGGGAGAAAGAGGGAGGGGTCTATCTATCTCCGATTCCAGGCCTGTTAAAGCCCCACCCAGGGTAGGAGTCGACCAGACCCCCAGCACCCCCACCTTCATGCTCTGAGCTGGCCTCCAGGGCTTCCGTGTCACCCTGGGGCCGCACACAGTATGTGGGACAGATGTGCTCTGGGTTGAATGCCCGGCTGCCTGGCTAAGCTCACTTGCTCTCACCTGGGTGGCAGAGAGGGGCACTCAGGCCACCTGGGCTCTTGACTCTGCCCAGGCTGCCATCCAGGAGTGGGAATTCCTGAGTTGGGGACTGTATCGGTAGTTGCCTGGCCAGTTGGAGGTCCCCTACCCTTGCCCGTGTCCCTGAGCCACTTGTCCCTGTGACTCACCTGGTGCCACCCCCCTGCCTCCCTCCAGCCCCTCACAGCTGTGTTTCATTGTAGGGCCCTTCACCTGTGAGCCCCAATGCCCTGGACCGCACGGCCGCTTGGCTCTTGACCATGAACGCGCAGTTATTAGAAGACGAGGGCCTGGGCCCAGACCCCCCCCACAGGGATAGGCTAAGGAGTAAGGAGGAGCTCAGCCAAGCAGAAAAGGTAAAGCTGGACCCTGGCAATTTGGGGCAGGGCGGGGCTGCCTGCCTGTGGCCGCTGGCAATGTTCTCTCCCTTCGAGCCCTGAATGAGGGATGCTGCTTGTTCCCTGCGTATGGCCAGTCCCCCCTCAACCCCTGGTCCCCCATGAGGACATCAGCCAATGGCCTCTGGAAGAAGAGCAGCAAGAGGGATTTAGCTTAGAGCTGAGAATTCCTATACAGGCTGTACATGAGACTCACCTGGAAATTGTACTGAATCCAGACTCCTGGTACCTGGTCCTCAGACCTCTGGGAGGCCCCTTCCCTGAGTGACCTGGCCACCGAGCTTCTGCGTGGCCGGGACTTGAGGACTGGGGGTGCCAAAAAGGCACATGGAGACCGTCATGGGGAGCTTCGTGCATGAGGAGGCAGAGAGGTGTGGGTCCCCGAGACAGCTGGGAGGGCCGCCCCCAACCAGGTCCCCCACTCTGGGTTTGCACCTATCCAGAGCCTAGCTCTTGCCCAGTTCCTGTCTCCACCAGGACATGAGAGAGAAAGAGCTAGGTGAAGGGTCCTACTGCTACTGAGAGGTTTTCTTCCCCCTAGGGGGGGAAATGGTTTTAAAATATCCAGATTCCACCCACCACACACATCTAGCTAGCATTTAGTGGGGCAATGGGGGTGGGGGGGGGCTTCTGTCCTCCCAAATTCTCCCTGTTGTTATGGCAACTGCCCTGGATCCATGGCTCGTTCTCATGTCCTCCTGCGGGCCAAAGCCCAGGAAGATGCAAGGCCCCTCAGAATGGCACTTCTTCCACTCCCCTGATGCCCTTGCCTCGGCCCTAGGAAAGCCTTAGCAGCCTCTTAGGCAAGGGCACGGAAGTCAGGGTGGCAGCTCTCCCTCGTCCTGGCCTAGGGCGAGGTTCATGTCCATGCTGCATTCCGCCACCTTCCATCCCCTTAGTCCACTGCATCCACCTGCTTTCACCATAATTATGTCAAGGGGACATGGGGCACAGTCCTCCAAGAGCCAGAGTTTGGTTGGGCCAAAAGTTGGGCCAGCCTTAGCCCAGGCTCCCTTTGTGAGCCTGGGGCTGGGCTCTGCACCTCTCGGGGACCCAGAGTCCCATTCATGACTTGTAAGGACCACCTGAATGACTGCAGGGGTCAGGCTGCAGCTGGAGGGCCCTCTTTCCTTGCCAATCTGTGGCTGAATGAGCTACTGCTTCTCTCATCTTCTCTGCTACTAACCCTCACAAGGCAAATCTGGGGGAGGCCTTGTTCTCTCCAGCTCCCTGGAAATCTGGTACTGCCTCTGTCAGGGAGGAGCCTCTCTACCCCACTCTGGCTAGCTGAGCAAGACTTGGGATGGGCCAGGGTCATCTCTCCCAGAGCCAAGCTCTCCTATGGGTCCAGTTTTGCTTTAGGAGCTTAGCTTGGGGCTAAGGCTGGGCCTCTCCCCAGTCATCTGGATTTGCTGCCTCCTAACCTTTGCTGAAGTGAATTAGGTCTCCATTGCCTAGGACTCCAGGAGAGGCTCTTCCTGCCTCCCCAATTGTCACGGCACCCTGGCCCCCACCCCCTTGATTCTAGTGTCAACCCCACCTTACCTTTAACCTCTCCCCCCCTCCCCGCCCCCACTTCCCTATGCCACCGCCCTTGCTTTAGGGTCAAATAGAGGCTGGGAGGCTAGGATCTCACTCAACTGGTCAGTCACTCTCCATGGGACCAGGTCACCTTGCCTTCTGGGCCTCAGTTTCCCCTCCTATAGAGTCCCTACCTCTCAGGGTTCTATCAGATCTTAATATATCCGAGAGTGTTTTTAACATTTGTTTATGATAAAAAAACTCAGTGCCCTCCGTTAAACCCTTACTTAGGAGATTCGGGTTTGAGTCTTCATCCCCTCATAGTTGTAAGGTCAGGCTGCAGGGGTGGGAGGTTGGAGGGGAAAGAGCCCTGGACGGAGACAGGCTTGGAGTCTCACCCTGACCCTTCTGGCTGGGCTCCGGAGGCATCTCCTCACTGTGTGAAGGTGAGGGTGGTGAAGACCCCTGGCACATTCCGAGCTGGGCTCCCTCCCCACCCTGTGCTCCTGCTCGGACTCACGAGGCTGTGCTCTCTGTCCTGGGTGCTGTGCCCTTGGCACGCTGCCCTCCTGGCAGGACCTGGCAGTGCTGCAGGACAAGTTGCGAATCTCTACCAAGAAGCTGGAGGAGTATGAGACCCTGTTCAAGTGCCAGGAGGAAACAACACAGAAGCTGGTGCTGGAGTACCAGGCACGGCTGGAAGAGGGTGAGGAGCGGCTGCGGCGGCAGCAGGAGGACAAGGACATCCAGATGAAGGGCATCATCAGCAGGTGAGGGCAGCCTTTTCCTGCTCTGGGCCAGTTCTGGCCCCCCCTCCACCCACCCACCCCACATACACACAGCGGGCAGACCACCCTCCTGATTAGAAGAAGGGCTGGTCAGCTGCAGGGGAGCCAGGAGTGGAAGGAGGAAGGAGGAGAGTGTCCCAGGCAGCGGAGACAGTGTGGCCCAGACCTGGAGGTGGGAGGCAGCCTGGAGCGTGGGGAGCCCTACCCGGTGTGGTGTGTATTGATGGTAGAATGCAAAGTTGGGCCCGGCAGAAGCGAGGTTAGCGAAGGCCAGCTCACACAGGGCTTGTGACCCCTATAAGCAGTCCTGTTTTCTTGGTAAGCGCTCTCAGGGGAGGTAGGATTAGAGGTGCCAGGCAACACAGTGAGGACCCAATTCAGGACAGGAAAAGTAGGGATAAGTCAGTTACATTCAGTGGGTGAAGGAGAAGGAGGCAGAATAACCCCCAGATCTCTACCAAGAGTATCTGGGTGTCTTGGTACCAGTTGCTGAGAGGAGGATCTTGGGGAGTTTAGGTGTCCCAGCCATGCTGGGACAGATCCCACGTTTGGGATCTGTTGAGTTTTAAGGTGCCTGTGAGTTATCCATGAAAGATTTCCAGGGGACCGTTGGCTTTGATGCTGACTCTCATCTCTTTTGATGGCTTGGATATCACATGCTGTGGTGATTTTCTCTCTCTCATTCTGTCTGTCTCCACCCATGGGCAGGGTGGGTACACCCTCATGCATGTCTGCAGGCAGGGAGTACAGTGAAGGTGTAGCATCCTGGCCGTCCCCCGGCGTCCCAGTTGTGAAGTTCACTTTTTCATGAGAGGAATAGCAGGTAGAAGAGGACACAGTGTGGGTTTTACAGCTTGTTTGCATGGCCCAAGAATCCGTCATCTGGACAGGTTTAGCAGGTGTGCCATAGCCAGGAAGTTTCCCCACCTAGCCTCATGCTTCATCCACTACAGAAACTTTTCCAGGTTCTTCCTCTTTAGGCTACCTGTTTCTCTGTCCTAATTATTGTTTGCTTCGCTTACCTGTGGGTTTGTTCATTGCAAAATGGTTAGCATGAGCAGAGGGCCTATAACTGGGGTGACTGGAAATCCACTGTTCACTTGACTGCCAGCTCTGTTCTTGGCTCACTAATGCTTCTCAGACCAACCACCACCTTCTCACTGTGCCTCTTCTCTGAAGGGTGCGTGGTCTTTGGATTCAGTGGCTTACTTAACACATTTATTTCTACTAACCCATCCCGCTGTATTTCCTCCTTAATGGAAGCGTCAATTTTCAATTTGGTTGATAGCATTATTTGAATCCTTCTATATTATTACTAATTTTTCTGTCTACTTGTTTACTGTTCTATTAGTTATTGAGAAAAGGGTATTGAAGTTTTTAATCGTAATTATGGATTTGTGTATTTCTCTTTTTTATTGTTTTTGCTTTATGTACAGTGAAACTATGCATCCACATCTAGGAGTTATGTGCTGGTGATGAACTAACATCTTTATTGTTATAAAGTCACCTTCTTTATCCCTTGTAATATTCTTTGCTCTGGAATCTACTTTGTTTGATGTTGATTATAGGTATCCCAACTTTATTTTGATTAGTATTAGCCAGGTATATCCTTTCTTATCCTTAAACTTTTAACCTGTCTGTGTCTTTCTATATAAATGAGTTTCTTTTATAGACACCTTATTGTCTGTTCTTGCTTTTTATCTAATCTGGCAGTTTCTGGAGTATTTAGACCATTTACATTTAATGTAGTTATCAATATAATTATGTTTAAATCTCTTCTGTTGCTACGGTTTTCTATTCGTACCATCTGTTCTGTTCTCTTTTTTCCTGCACTCTTGGATTGAGCATTTTTATGATTGCATTTTATCTTTCTTTTTGGCTTATTAGCTATATCTCTGTTGTCACTTTAGGGCAAGAGTTGGGAACTTCCCGTAAAGGGGCAGATAATAACTATTTTAGGCTTTGCAGACCATATGGCCTCTGTTAAGTGTTCAACTTTGCTGTTTTAGCAGAACTGTGTGTGTGGTGTGGCTATTTACAAAAACAGGAAGTGGGCCAGTGGGGCCCTCACCATCAGGCTGTAATAGTAGGGATTCTGTCATTGCTTTTGTTCTTCTGGTCTTTGTTCTCTGGCTATTTTTAAGATCTTTTTTTATCATTGATTTGATAATTTGATTATGATGATCCTTGGCATGGTTTTCTTCATGTTTCTTGGGTTTAAGCTCTCGGATCTATAGGTATGCTGTCCTGCCTACGCAGTCTCTTTTCTGGGAATCCCATCCCACATATGTTAGGCTGCTTTATATTGTCCCACATTGCACTGATGCTCTGTTGTGTCCTTTTTTTTACTTCTTTTCCCTTGTTGTATCTTAGATAATTTCTGTTCCTATGTCTGCAAGATTAATAATCATTTCTTCTTCAGTGTCTAATCTGCTATTAATCCTACCCAGTATTTTTTCATTTCATTTCAGATACCGTATTTTTCACCTTCAGACTTTCAGCTTGGTTTAAATTCTGTCCATTTCTCTTCTCATCATGCTTATGCTTTCCTCTCTATTTTCTCAAACGTGTGGAAATACATTTACAATAGTTGTTTCAGTATCTACGAATTCTGTCATCTGTGACATTTCTGAGTCTGTTTTTATTAATTTTCTTCCTGGTTATTGGTTCTATTTTTCTACTTCTCTTACGTTTGGTGATTTTTGGTTGGATGCCAGACATTGTGACTTTTATGTAGGTGTGGGATGCTTTGTGTTCTTTTAAATATTTTTGAGGCTTTGTTCTGGGACACAATGAGGTTATTTGGAATTAGTTTGATTCTTTGGAGGCTTACATTTAAGCTTTGTTGGGGTGGGTCTGGACAGCCTTTAATCTAGCCTAATCTGGCCCCACTGCTGAGGCAGTTTCCTTCTGGGGATTCTACTTTATGTCCCCGTGTTAGTATGTCTTTCCACTCTGCCAGGTAGGAGTATGAACTCTCCCTGGGGTGGTTTTGTTCTAATGTTTCAGTGGTTCCTACCAGCCTGGCTGTGTTCTCACAGGCCTGCAGACCCGTCCCCAGCCAAAGACTCAAAGGGAACTCTCAGGAAATACGTGGCGTTCTCCCTGTGTCTTCCTCTTCTCGGGCACCGCTTCCCTGGGTCTCCTCAACTCCGTGACATTACTTTCCTTCTTCTGTTTGGCCTGGACACTCCAGGCAGTGAGTGGAGCTCAGCTCATGTGTTCCCTTTTCTTAGGACACACTGCCTGTTGTTCAGTGTCAGGAAACCGTTTTTTCATATATTTTGGTTTTCTAGTTTCTTACTGTCGCTGTTTGATGGCAGGAGGGTAAATCTGGTCTCTGTTTTCCCACCAACCAGAAGCACAAGTCTCTCTCCCCTAGTGTAATTTCCCCTCGGATTGACACCATCCAGTGCCCTTTGCTCCCTGGTCCTCCTCCTCCGCTTCTTACAGGCTTTACTCAATGTCTCATCTTCCTGTGACAAGGAACCCCCCTCTTGGCGTGGCCCCTCACCCTTCCTCCTGATCAGTGCTCCCTGACTGCTGATCTCATTGACTTTTCACAAGGGCCCTGTGGGTACCTGCCCTAGCACCATTGACCTCCCTGTGCACCTTCTGTGTCAGGTGCTCGGTGCCCACCCAGGGGGTAGGGGACTGCTCTGCTGGCCTGGAGAAGTTGTGCAGGTAGCGATGGGCATGAAGCCTTGGGAGCAGGTGAGCTTGTCTTGAGAAGAGTGTGGGGGGCAAGAACAACAGGGGCTGGGACAGACCCCCACAGAGCCCTGACATGCTGGGGGCAGGCAGGACAGGCGTCTGCAGAGCTGTGGCCTGGCAGCTAGGAGGCAAACCCAGAGAGTGTGGGATCCAGAAACTAATGGAAGAGCATCAGAAAGTGGGTGTGAGCCACTGTGATTGACAGGTGCATGAGGGACCTGCGAGGTGAGGCCAGGAGGGGTTTCAGGGAAGGAGCAGCTGGGGACAGACACACACATGCCTTAGCTCTGAGCTTCTGCAGACGGTGTTCTTCCCGTCTTCCCTACTCATTACCGCACCTTCAGACCTTGCTGGTACCCCACCCCACCCTCCAGGACAGTTACCTACTTCCTGTTCTCTGTTCCCATGGCCTCCAGGCCTCCCATGCAGGGCATGGCCACTATCTGCCTATCTGTATCCCTGCTGCCTTGTAACTTTTTGAGAGATGGAGATCTCTACTTTATTCATCTCGCTGCGTCAGGTTCTAGGCACGTCTTGGCATAGCCTTGGTGAATGCCGAGTGGGTGGAGAAAGCCCTAGAGCCCTGCAGGTTTTTCATCCTCCTACCCATGCCACGGATCTTCTGACATTACACCCCCTGCGTTGCTCTGGGAGGCAGTGAAGATCTAACCCCCACCCCCGTCCACCTTGGCTCCTGGAAGAACATCAGGAAATGGGCAGCTCCAAGGGCTTCTGGGGGATTTGGGAGCAGAGTCTGGGGCAGGTGAAGTATAAGGGAGGAGCAGACCCATCTCATGTCAGTGGTTGGAGGCCAGCTGGAGGAGCTTTCCTAGTATGTGCCCTCCATGTAGGTGTGATGGCTTCTTCCCGCACGGCCCCACCCCACCTCCTTAGCTGCTCCCTCAAGTGCCAGCTTGACTGTCCTTGTGTCTGGTCACAGGTTGATGTCAGTGGAGGAGGAGCTGAAGAAGGACCACGCTGAGATGCAAGCAGCTGTAGACTCCAAACAGAAGATCATTGATGCCCAGGTGGGTTCTGGCCCTTTGGTCAGCCATAGGTGTTAAAGGACCTGGGGTAAGGAGGGGGTGACTTTGACAACTCTACATCCTCAGTCATAACCCCACTATAAAAACTGAGAAGGAATAGGAGGCCAGGATCTCGGATCCAAGAAGTCAGGCTTGGAGGTCTCAATGGACCACAAGCTCACTGGGACAGGCTATGAAAGGGGTGGGACAGCACCTTCCCTACTGGGGCAGCTTGGTGACTACTGCCTTTCACCAGGGGTACTGACCAAAGTGTGGAAGCTTTTGGGAGGGGAATGGGGATGGCTTGGGGTGACAGCAGGCTGGGCAGGCGGAGCAGGGGGGCTCTTGTTCAGAGCTGTGGCTTCCCGGCTGCATTGAGAGAGGAAGCACATAAGAGACTCTGGCCGCCACTCTCCTTCCCTACACTCCTTTCCTCTCACTCACCCGGCAATAGGGCCAGGCCTTGTTCAGATTATAAATGTAAAAACAGCATGGACCAGCCAGGAGCCATGATCTCGTGCGCGAGGGGACGCACCCTCGGGGCTCGGCGGCTGATGGACGACACCGCTAGGGCTGCTCTGACTGGGGAGAAGCAGTGATGGGAGAGACACAGGAAGGCAGGCGGAGTCTCGGACCATGGCACTGAGACCACCTGCCCCGTGGCCCTGTAACCTCGGCGCCTTTCCGGCCCCTCGCACGCCGTGGACTCCCAGTCCTCCCCACGTGTCCTCCCAGCACCCCTGATGGGCGCACACAGCCCCGGGGAGACCCCTGTCCCGGTACGGTCCCCCTGTGGCCCCAGCTAATGCCCTCTTTGCCTCCAGGAGAAGCGCATCGCCTCACTGGACGCCGCCAACGCCCGCCTCATGAGCGCCCTGACGCAGCTGAAAGAGAGGTACAGCATGCAAGCCCGTAACGGCGTCTCCCCCACCAACCCCACCAAATTGCAGATTACTGAGAACGGCGAGTTCCGAAACAGCAGCCATTGTTAACCTGCCCAAGGAGGGAGGACCGTGGTGGCCCGGGGCCAGCCTCAGCCTGGGGAGCCCCAGCACGGGGGCGGGAGGCCCAGGCCCCCCCCTTCCCTCCACCTGCAGTCCAGGAGGTGCCACGGAGGGAGCCTCGACAGACTGACACAGCGTGGGCCCGCTCCCCTCTCTTCTGGCCCGAGAAGCGAGTTCGGTGCAGGCCAAAGAGACTGCAGGCTGGGGGGTGGGACGGCCTGGGGCGAGCAGGGGGCCTGCCAAAATATGTCTCTGTTGGTTATTGAATTTGGTGTGTGTCACCTTTCTTTCTTGATCTGGCAAGTGCATGTACCCCCTACACCCTCCCTAGGGAGGGAGCACCCGCAGAGGTGGAGGATTGAAGCGGTGGGGGCCCAGGCGCCTGCCCTGGGGGACTTGCCCCTTGGTTCCAGGGGCTGATCGGCTGGTTGGCAGGCAGGGAGAGGGTGGGAAGGATGGAGCCGTTGGAGTTCCTGTCCCCCGCAGGACTCCACCCTGAGCACCTGCCACTGCATGCAGCCTGTCCGGGGACCCTTACTGGCTGTGAGGAACCGAGGATTCCGCCCTGTACCTGTCCCCAGACTCCCCGCCCCCCCTTCCTTATTTGTGTTGCCAAATAACCCAGTGAGGATCCTGGCTCTCTTCTGGGCCCTCGTCTCTGTGGGGAGGATCCAGAGCCTCCCTTACTTGCCACCTGGGCCCAGGCTGACACTCTGGGGCTCCCCAAAGCCAAAGATCTGGGCAGAGTGGGCCCAGATGCCCCTGTGCCTGGTACCCGCCCTTCTCCCGGGGCCAGCGCACCAGGACGCAGTGGCCCTTCAGGGAGTGGCCAGCTGGTTCTCACCCTGAGAGAACGGCTGATCTTCCCTGATGGATGGTGAAAAGAAAGTCTGATGCCAGCAGGCCCTGAGAAGGTGGATAACTGTGATTTTTTTTCCTTTCACAGTATGCATTAGAAACAAAAGCCCGCTTGCTCGCTTGCTGGAACACAGGGGCCTTTTAAATTGAGCGTGCGCACTGCATGGGAAATAGCGGCCCTGGAGGATGTTAGACTTGCTCCCTCTCCAAGACAGCAGCGGCCTGCACCAGGCCCCGTGTGTGCGGCCGGCCTCCTCCTCACCCTTCCCGGGCCCCGGCCGAGGACCCAGGCGCTGCAGACAGGAGAGGGGCACAGCTGGGGCCGGTTTTCCCCAGCTCTAGGCTGTTCTATGGCTCCTCAGCCCTCCCTGCTCCCCCCACCCGCCCCTTGTGGGACATAGGTGGGCAGGAGCTTGGGTCTGTCTCGGTCCCTCCCTGTTCCCGCCCCCAGCCCCGGTAATCTCGGGCGGGAGCCGGGCGTTTGCCCTGCCGCAGAACCAGGGCGGCGGAGCCAGGGCTGGGCGATTCGCGGGAGCCGCCCTCTCTGCCTCCGCCTCAGCCTCAGGAAGCTGAGGAGACCCTTGGAAAGAGCGCTGAGCCCTTCCCGCCTCTGGGGCCGGAGGCCTGCCGCTGCCAGGGGCCGAGGTCACCACAGAGCCCACCCGGTCAGGGAGTGCGGGAAGGGTGGCCCAGACCACACAGCACCCTGGCCTGGCCTGTGTCCTGGGAGGGGGCTCTTAGATGCAGCCTGCAGTTCAGTTAGGCCAGAGATTGGCTGGTGAGGAGAGGGCAGGCCCCCGGCGGTCACAGACCTCAGGAAGGAAGGCCGTGGGGGCTGTGGCCCTGCCCCTACTCGTGGCCACACAGGCAGGGCCCGGCCCCCAGTGATGTACTCTGGTTCGGTCTCCTCCCCTCCTCCCCCCTACCCCTCTCCCACCGATGCCTCGATGCCTCGTAGAGCAACCTTGGACTGAGCGCCTCTTAGCAATACGGGGGAGGTTCCCGGGGCCCCGGGGCCCGGACAGCAGGGTGCAGGAGGCCAGCGCAGGTCTGGTGCTGGCGGCCCTTGGCGTGGGTTGTGAGCTCTCAGGCCGAGAGCCTTACTTACTTAGTGCAAAAACTGTAAAAGTGTACAGACTCTTCACAGATTTTTATCTGAATTGCAAGTCTGACCATTTTTGTACATGTTCTTGGTGTTCGACTGTAATGTAACTATTTCACCTAATGGTTGTACATAGTCCTTTAGTCCTGGTGCTGCCGAGGGCTGCCCGGGACCGCTGCTCTCCAATGGTGTGTATTTTATTTTTTAATCTAGAGAACAGTATTGGGCAGGAGGAAGAGGTTTGGGATTTGGGTGTTGGGGCTTTTCCGTACCCAGGGCATGCAGTGTGTGGTCTGGGTGGGGTGCTGGGGGCCTGCGCCCTGACTGGACCAGCAAAGGAGCTCCTGTCCCGGCCTCGCAGACGCTGCGTCCCAGTGTTGGGCCAGTTTGCCGCAGGGCCAGAGGGAGGGGGAGTGAGGGAAGGCAGGCCCTGCTCTGGGAAGATAAGGCCCCAGGTCCCCGGGGCCCCAGGCCCAGAGTCTGCCGGAGACAGCTCTCCCCTCTGCCAACACAGAGCGGCCTGACTTTTTTTGCTTAACTTGTATGTTTAGGGTGAAGGAAACTGCCAAACTTTCTATAAGTGAAGACTTTTTTCCAACTGCCCAGAAAGGGGGGTGGGGGGAACCAAGACCAGAGCTCCACACACCGCCCCCCCGCCCCCCGCCCATGGAGCATCTGCCCCGGGGTACGCCTCTCTCCCTGCTGCCCGCCCATCCGCGGAAGGCAGGCTGTCCAGGGAAACAGCCCCTCTTTTCTATACCTTTGGCCCCAAAGCCGCCCCCAGCCCCACACCACCTCCTTGCTCCCCCTTTTGTAAGTATGTGAAAAAGAAAAAATGCAAACGTTGGAGTCTTGGCTGGAGCTCCTCCTTCCAGCTGTGACTTTTCATATGTAATAATGTACAGAGAAAGTTGTTGGTGTTCTAAGACTGTGTGGCTGTGCAATTTCTGTACATTTGCAATTAGAAATATTAAAGATTTATTTAGCTATTTTAAGCCTGACTCGCCTCCATTCAGCTGTGTCTCAGGAGATTTTCCAGGGGCGACCCTTGAGTTGTGGGCCTATATTGTCCTTTACCAAGGGGCGGCATCACGGGGGTTCACCCTGGTGGTACTTGTGGACAGGGGAGACCCCTAGAACGGGGGTAGTGGTGGTCTCGGCTTACCGAGGGACCTGAGACTGTCTCCTCCAGCAGGTTGGGGTCTCTCCGCTTAGGGAGTGGAGCAGTGCCTTCTTCAGGGCCCTTCCTGGGCTCCGATAAGCTCCGAAGGGAGTTCTTTGCTGGTTCGCCAGTCCCAGGGGGATGGTGTGGCCCCTGCACTTCCTGCAGGAGACACCATCTCCTGCCAGGCTCTGTGTCAGATGCCTTCTCTAGGGTAGGGGCGAGAGTTTGGTCTACATCACCAGCAGGTCAAGGCTGAGCTGGCTAAACGAAGCTTCGAATGCCTGCAAGGCCACAATTCATGGGGCTCTCACGAGCCAGACCCGTTTGCAAGGCCCCACCCAGGGCCTCTGAAACAAAGCACCCCCAAACCCCTTCGGCTGCACCCATGCCCGGGGCCGACTCAGCGGGAGCCAGGCAGGGGTCAGGCCATCCTATTTACACAAGGCTGAGAGGGGGCATGTGCGGGCCTCAGTCCAGCCCCTCAGAGGGGGCACAGGTACAGGAGCCCAGCTATGACGGGGGCAGTGATGTGTCTCAGCAGGTCCCCGGTGGAGACCTCGGTCTGTCACCGGCACAGGGCCCTGGCTGTCCAGCATTCCCAGAGAGAATGGCCGGCGCCCTAGCCTCACCCTCGCTGCCTTCATCATCCCTAAAACTGCAGCCCCGCTGCGCTTTCCCACGGCACCGGGGCTGCTCACCTGCTCCGGGCTGGGTTTTCTTCTCTCCCCTTCAGCCAGCCTTCTTTTTTTTTTTTTTTTTAAAGATTTT